AATGTAAACAAAATTGAATGGAAGGGAATATGATGTAGAGCTTGTGTCCTTGAGAGCTAATTTAGGCTCTTGTGGTTTTAAACATTTCTGGTGAGATGAGGGGGACAAGCAGCTGCAATACAAAAGATAAGGGCTGAAGACTGATTAATATTGGTATTTTGAAGGAAGAGTTTCCACAGCCCATCTGGAATTGATTTGTCCCCACTCTGAGATACCACCAAACAGCCATTTCAGAAATGAGTACTCCCAAAACCCATAGTCCTCAAACTGGAGTGAAGAGAGGGGCAAGTGTTAAGGTTATTCTGAAATAATCTCTCCAGCCAAAAGCTGAATAACAAGAGATGTCAGTTAATAAAAACTATCAGGAGCTGCAATTCTGATCATATTCTTAAAAATAAATAAGAGTAAGAGGGCATTAAAAAGAGGTAAACAGCATCTGAGTGCTAGGCAGAAAGCCTAGTATGCTCCAAAACATTGCAGAGCACCTTTCAATCCCAAGAACATGAAGAATTTACTTCTGGGTAACAGATTATCAGGTGTCTCCTGATCCATGGAAACTGTCCCTGCAGATCTGCACAGTGGTATATATGGGATAAGCTGGGATCTCTGCATCTTCCATGGAAGATGAGAGAGGTCTGTGCTAATATGGACAACCTCATTTTGCTGCAGCCTAAGAGCAGTCGTGCACACAGTTGTCTTCTACCAGTTGATTAGTGGCAACTGGTTCTCCTGTGGTTTCTTGTTTCTGTGGCTGGGCCTGGATGAGTGTGTTATTGCCTGTATTTTAGACATTAGCTTTTCTTACTGTGATGTTCTTTTCTCCTTGTCTCTCTCCACAGTCAGTGAGACCAGTGTTGCTCACCAATAATGGGACTGCTCCTGTATGGAGGGCAGAGGGATGAGCAGACCATCCTGTGGTGAAAAGTGATCTGGGGACCTTCTGGTAAATAACTGCTATGATTTTGACATTGCTATGGCATCCTTCTAAAGTGTAGGTGCCATGTGGCCACTGATTTACCTTCCACCTAAGGCTCTACTTGGTCTGTAGGGCCAGAGTACATCCCTTCATTGGAAACAAGGAGGTGAAGAACATTTGTTATAAAAGTGGGAACTGCACAAAACTAACATGAATTTAGTTTTCAATACAAACATGGAACCCGACAAAGGTTAATTGAAGCATTTTCCAAGGGCCAATCTGAAGTTTGAGGAAATTAAAGGGGGACTTTAAACTTACTTTAATGGTCTTAGGGTCAGCTTGTAAGGCAAAGTGGACAAGTTTCAAGGTCCCTAGGTGAATGGATTTTTTTTTTTCCTTTTTTTTGAAATCAAATCCACATCATGCTATTAGTTCAAAAGACATTTCAGCCATCAGCCATATGGTACCTACACCAACAGGAACTGGATCAGCTCCTCCAGACCATGGAGTACAGTGTATAATGCTTAGCTCCTGCGGTGTTATATTGCCCTCGTGTAAAATGCTTGTCTCTCTGGCAAGGGGGGTAAGGGAGAAACCAGGCATCAGGTACTCCTGGGACTAAGAGTCCCAGACCTCACCTGGGATGACCCATGGCATGATGACCCTCATCAATAGAGCTCTTCACTGTAGAAGGCAGCAGCCTGAAGATCTGTGAGGCACAGCACAAAGCTTATCATCTCTTCCTCTATGTATTTGCTTGAGGGAATGGGTGGGTTGTTTATTTTGTGGGGAGGAGCCTTTTCCTTTTGGCTCTTGGGAAAAAAGGAACTGCATTGTGTATGTTTACTGAAAGTCCGATGTGTTCCCTGAGGCACGAAGATAGGGAACATCCTTATAAATCAGGATGGAGAAAAAAAACAGAAAGAAATGTGCTAGCAGAGCTGCAGCGACAGCCTGTGTGCTTGTGCACGCTCAGTCAGCAAGGGGAATGACACTGACACTGTTTCAAAGGAAGGTCATTGCGTAGACCATAAATCTCAAACACGTAAAATTTGCTTCATTTGTCTTCGTTAATTCTATTTTACAGGAAGTTCAGCATTTATCTGAAAATTTTGAAATGATTATTTATTTATGTGGCCCTGCAGCTGTTCATAGCTAGTGATTTAAAGTTTGATGCAGCCAAATACAACGCATCTGGCCTGAGCCTGCCTGTGAGGGAACTTTCCTTATCAGGGTTGCCAGTGTCTGCAGTGGTCACACGAGTAAGGTCCAGGATGCTGAGGCACATGGTATGGGAATGAAAGCCCAGGGGCAGCACCGGTGCGAGTGTTCCCTTTGCCTGGGCGTAGTCAGTGCCAGCAACAGGCAGGGAAGGGGGAGAGCCTTCTGAAAGGGAGCAGACCTTGGCCATGGACTTACACTCACCCCCAGGCCTCCACTTTTGGGTGCTTGGTGGAAACAGCCTTCTGCTTTGTGGTGGTGGAGCTGTTCTTCTATCTGCTGCTGGTCTAGCTTTGCTGCTTTGGCTCTTCCAGTTAGCTTTGTGCCCATGAGGTTTTGCCAAGTACCAGACATGGTTCATGAGTCAAGTTTTCCAAAACCCTTTTGCTCAGAGAAGAGGGGGAGGGAAGAGTTTTCTCTAATTGATCACAATTAATGTAATTAGTACTTTGCAGTTTCTCCTATCCATGCCTCTACCTTTGAGACCTTCATTCATCTCAATGCCTATTGCCACTTTTAATTACTTTCAGTGAGCCCACAGCAAAGAACAGATATGTCATTCTCTTCTGTGATCAGCTGCACAAAAATACTACAGATAAACTGACCAGACGGAGCATTTAGTCAGATTTCAGCTCTGCCATTAACTTGCATGGTAGCCATGGCAAGTCATTCCACTTTGGTCTGGGCTGTTTTATTCATATAGAAAATAGAAATAACAAACTGATCCATATTAAAGGTCTACTCCAGCCCCAACTAGGATAATAGAAGCTTGGCTATGCTTAGCTTGGCTTGGCTTGGTAAGTCTTTCTGGAAATGTAAGCCTTATTGTTTTGGAAAATCCTTCTTAATCACACAGGGAAAATCTATTGTGCTGTTTAAATAAGCAAACTAAACTGAGGAAAATAACTACAGCCTCCTTAACAATTGTGAAGCAGATTCTGTAGGCCCATGTTTATAAAATGCTGAGCACTCTGGTCTCAGCATGCTTTCCACCACTACCTGTTTCCACCAGAATACTAGACAGCTTCCTTTAGAAAGGCCAGGTCCACCAAAGGTCAAAGAGGACCTTGATTTAAAAGAAGTTTAGTTAGAAGTACAAGAGCTCCTTCCCAAGCAGTTGGACACTTGATATCAGTCTTTGCTTGCTAACTAGGAGGATTAATGACCGCTTTTCAATTCCGTCTTCTGCTATCAACCACTGTCATGCTTGACTGCCTCCGTTTCCAAGACCAGGGGGCTAGAGACATCTAATGGCAACTACATGCATAGCAGAGTATCTTCTCCCACTTGTAGCAGGCTGTCCTGTGAGAGACGGGTTCCAGTATTTAACTCTTACAGTACCTCAGAAGCGTGTGCATGCAAGACCAATGAAATGACAATGGCTGTGTAGTTGTATGGCACCATGGCATCCTACTGGAAGGAAAAATAAGTGGCACAGATGGCTCTAGGGTAGAAAATAGTGATTGGTGAAAATAAGTTTGGGTGCTTGCATGTTGCTGGGCCTTCTTGGCTCTGTTCTCCTTTTCCTTGAAGTGTGGGAGAAGGATGTGAAACAGGAGGGGTGCACGAATGAATTGCTATTGTATTCTTGACAGTATCCGCACACTGGAAAAAACCCTATGGTCTCCTATGGAAGAGAAAGGGAATAAAAGAACCTATCCCTGGAGACAAGAAAGGGAAAATAGACTAGGTTGAATGGACAAATGCCCTTTGTTCTGCCTTCAGGGTGCCCTGTCCCCTGAGTGAAACAGGGCCAGACAGGAAAGCTACAAATTCCTGAGCCTGGAAGATGTAATATTTCCTATCAGCCTTTGCTGAATGGAGAGAAATAGGTGCTGTTGTGCAATCCAGGTAAAATGCACAGTAACAAGTATACCTTCAAGGAGGTGCTCAGCAGCTGGATGGTTTATGGCCCTGCCTGGCAGGATCCCTCAGGAATGACACAGTCGATGACTCAGGCAGCGCGAGAGATTCAGCATGGGATTTAGAGGAGAGCCTTCACTTAGCAAGGCCTGTGATTTATACACTGGCACAACGTGTATGTCCAGAAGCTTTGTTTTTGTGCAGAAGCCTCATTTTTGCGAGGGGGCAGCAGAAAGCTCCCCCTCCCCCCAACAACTTCAAAACAGACTAGATAAATTAGAAGAGACCAAACAGGGACATGATTCAGAAGTACTGAAGGCCCCCTACCTTTTACAAAGGAATCCCCTTGTTTGTATAGACCTGATGTGCCTGGGGATTTCCAGGCACGCTGCAAGCGCTCAGCTCTTCTCCAGACTCAGCCTTTTTGCTAGCAGAGGTGGGACAGGAGCTGGAACAGGGCACTGCAGAGTTGGCTGGAACAGGGCACTGGTCTCTTTCACTGGAACATTCCTATTCGCAAGACCAGAACAGCGATTCCTCATGCAGTCCCCAAGGATGCTGGGAGACTCACCATGGCAATTGACGAGCAAGGTGGGAGAATCTCACTCAGCACTGGAAACTGTTCCCATCTGTTCCTTCCCTCCCAGACTCACCCTCATCTCAGAGCCTTCACTGTCACCCTCAGCCCTTCTTCACCAGCTGTGCTTCTCTCACTGCTGTGGGGCACCATCCTTTCCCTCCCTGAGTGGTGGTGGTGCTCTTTCTTGCTGAGAACACCAGGACCGTGTGCATGGTTTCCTTCAAGGAGGGTATTTAAGAAAGCTGTAACTGTCACAGGTAGCCATGACAGTTGAATATCCACCTCCCAGCACACCTGGATAAGCAGTGGCGTTACAGCCCAGCTCTTCCCAACACCTAACACCCAGTCTGCTTCTCTGAGACTGGTCAGAAACTAGGTAGCAAAACAGTAGTGTGACAAAACACAAGAACGTATTTTGTTTTGATTTTATGATTTGCCATGATTTACAATTGGCTACATTTTATTTCTGATATCCTGTTATATGCTATCTGCAGGGAGTTTCATAGCTTGTCCAAGAGCCATTTAATTTGGTGGCTTTGTGTTAACTTCATTGAGTGCTGCATCGTACTTGGGCTGAGAATGGGTCCTTTAAGAGGTACAGCTGTAAAAACACATTAGCTACTTCTCTGTAGGCCTGTTTTTTCTTTTAAAAAGTGTGTATTTGCAGAAGAATGGAGTTTCAGATCAAAGGAAGCTGTTTTCCATTTCAAGTTGAATCAGAGAAATACTTATGACCTAATTAAAAAAAAGAAAAAAGAAGAAAAAAAAAGAAAAAAGAAGGAATGTTGAAATTTTGGCATATCCAAGCCACCTTGTTTTTTTTCTAGGAGTGGCCTTCTGTCCACAGTGGCTCAAAGGATAAAGCACAATCCTAAGTGCCTGACACTTAGGTATACAAGCTTTATCTGCTTATTTTGGAATAAAAATTATAACCAGGCTCTTTTCCCTGTCAGGTGAAGCTCCAAGCCACCGAACATTCCAGAGGGATTGGCTCTCCGTGTCCTGACAGAGCTATAGCACTCAGCAGAAAAAGACACTTTGACTGGGGAAAGAAAAGGACTCTGTAAGTCAGTAATTAAGACACATTTTTGGTCCAAGCGCTGGAGAGCTCAGACATCGACTCGTTGCTCTATAGGCTACTGTGGGTAGTGCTTATGGGGTTTGAATCAAAAGCAGTCAGACAAATGGCTTTCTGCAGTGCAGATGGTCAGGCTAAGGTGAAGAGGGAAGGACAGTTTTTCTTCTACAGTTGTACCAGCAGTGACTAAGCTAATGTCTAAGACGTATGATCTAGAGTTTTGTTTCCAGTCTTCTCCATTCTTATTTAAAACACCCCAAAAGAATCTTCTGTTCTCTAAAAAAATTACTAGGTCAACATCAAGCAATTTTGCTTCCATTTTTGAGATCTAACATGATATTGAAAAATGACTTTTATTGGAAGCTGAGTCCCATGTTTCCCTGCTAAGAGGTGCATGCGGTGCTTCAATACTAAGCTGTCAAATTCCATGGGACCCTACCACCCTCTGATTATCTCCTATTGATTTTGAAGCTGGGAACTTCAGTAGGAAACTGATAGGCTGACTGGATGTTAGTGTGGGTCTTGAGGCAATTCAAGGGTAAAATGATCTAATGCGACAATACGTGAGAACTCAGCATTCGGGGTATTACCATTCTTGTCTAATTGCCAGTGCCATGAAACTGGCCTTCTGTCAATCACAGCCAAGGAGAAGGCTGACATGATATCTCAATACACACACAAATACTTAATCTGTAGCTTGCAGTAGACTTAATGATCATAAAGATTTCAGAAAGAAAAAAAACAAGGCAGCATCTATAAAAAAAAAGATAGATAATAGCTGATTCAACCAGGCTTCGTTAGTGGAGAAAGATGGCTGGCTGTGGGATGAAAAGAGGCTCTGATATTTTCTTGAGCTGAAGTCCTTTTGATCTTAAGCATGTCCTGAGATTTTGGGTTGGTTTCTTAATCTTAAAATGATTAAAAAAAAAATCCTTTTTAGCAGAAGGCTGCCCCGGTCTGTACCCTGCTTCCTGCACCTGGACACCAGACAAAGATGTTACGGCTTTCAGGAAACAGCACATTTGTCAGCGTGCAGCTCCCAGCTGAACAAAGGGCTGGATTCATGAATGCAATATCAACCATGGAAATGTTCCACCCCTGCCCCTCCCTGGCTTCTGACTCAATCTGTTGAAACAAAAAATGAATTGTCATTGGATTTTGCAGCCTTTGAGGTTCCTCACCAGATCAATACATCTTGGACATGCTGATGGCCCCTAATTTGAATGAAGCTGCACAAGAATTGCAAGAATTTGAGCTTAGATTGTGAGCTGCTTTTGGGGGTTTTGTTTCTAATAAGGGGAAGTAATACAAAGCTGCTACCAAAGAGGAGATGAGAGGCAGACTCTGCAGCAAGGAAAGGTAAGTGTGTAGTGACTTACAGTCAGATCTGACTTTGCTCCCACACAGCAGCACCACTTCAGAATTTCCCTTGCCCCGGAAAAGCATGGTACCCTTTTGACAGGAACTTGGTGTTCGTTAACAGTGTTTGCGCTGCCTGACGTGACATTTAAAAGCTCTAGACCAGCAATACATTTATTCAGTGTTGTCATATTCAGGAAAACATTTAAGCAGGTAAAGCACCTAAGTAGTCCCACTGTCAACAGCAGGACTTCTCAAAAGCTTAAATTCATACATGTGTTGAAGTACCTTGCTGTATCAGGGCTCCAAACCCTAACAGCCTGCTGAACTGGAGTGATCATTCCAGTCTTTATCCCTAAAGCCTTAAAGCCACCCCGGGAATGCAATGCACAAAACTAATTTTGGTTAATTGGATAAAATTGCATATGTACACTCAGTGATCCCTGAGAGTTTTGAAAACTAGTTATGCCAGTGTCACCCTGCACACCTATTTCTATGATTAGTCACATCCACCTATAGGGACCGTGGCACTGACAGCAGAAACACTCTGTGATCTGTCCTGAAGGCTGGCAGTTCTCCAGCTCCGGGTGGCTTTCCTTCACAGTTGTCACACAGTGCAGTGCAGCTACCTGTGATAACTGATGAGCAGACAGACATCTTCCGTGCTGCCATTTTTAATGTGTTTCACTACATATCTCTTTCAAAGACTAATAATTTCCGCTGGGCAAGAATACTGTCAGCCTGGCATCAGATAAGTTCTCAGGCAGAGAGCTGTACCCTGCATTGCCTATTTTATCTAATAAAGACTTTTCCATCTCTGGTCTACTGCTTATAATTTAGCTTTTCCAAATTGACTTGCCAACACAGTTGGTTGGATGGAAAAAAAGTAAGATGCTGATGTATCTTCAGACTCCCTTCAGCTGACATAAATCACGCATTGTCAAAACAGGGTAAGTAGAGGGGAAATTTACCATCCTCCTCCCTTTCTGGTCCTGTGACAAGAAGTAATGCTTTGGTCATTCACATGCTGACACAAGATAACATTTTGAGACTGAGGCTGAAATTCAGTTTGAGATTAACCTTATTATTTTGTGGAGGTGAGTAACTGCTCAACCTACCTAGCTGAAAACTTTAAATGAAAACAGGGCTGTGAACAGCACAAGTAGCATCAGAAGTATCATCATCTGTTTCCTCACGTGCAAAACCAGCTTTTCAGAGGTGTTTAATCCTGCTTCCCTTTCCTCCTTTCTTCAGCTCAGTTTGGTGCCACATGGCTTGGTCCCTGCCATTGACAGAGCCACCAGTGCCTTCCCAGGAAGGCTGCAGCAGCCGCTGTGCATGCTGCATCCACAGACATGCAGGGTCTGTAGCACAGCTGGCAGGATAAAATGGTCCCCAGATGTCTGAAGAGTACACAGCGAACATTCCCTGCAGATAATATTAGCAGCAAATATTAGGAGGTAACTGGGCATTTCCGGAATGCTGAGGGGGCTGAGTTTGCCATGGGTTGGATGCAGGCAGGGAGGGCATGAACAGACCTTTCATCTGCATGTTTGGCAGCCTGGTGCCCACATGCTGTCTGCATTTTCCACATTGCCTTAGTTCAAAGGATCATTAATACTTGTGTTGCTAATGAAATAAAGCATGTGACTGCCTGCTGTGCTGGCTTAGGGAACAAACATAGCTTTTACCACTCTGGTTCTCCTAGTGCTGAGCTAAGGGGACATCTGCCTTGGCACACACAGCCCTGAGGAAAGGTTTTTCCTCTTCTGCCCATTATCCTCACCTGCCAGTACACTGAGGCAAGTGGCGCTTTCCCTCTGTCAGACTATTACATACCACAGTCCAAACTCTGCAGATGCAGGCACACACGAGAAACCCCACAGAGGAAAGCCAGCAGATTCCTGGGAATAAAAGTGTCCATGGACACCTCTGCTGACTGAGTCCTTGTAATCTGGGAAAACTAAGCACCAGCTCCTAGCTACCCAATAAAAGTGCACTATACCCTCACCCTGGTATATGTGTTAATCATGCTTTGATAATAGTCTCTAGAATTAAGTTTAATAACAAATAAAATGTTTCAGGAGTTTCTGTGGCAGGAAAGTTCATAGAATGTGCTACCTATGCATGCTGGAAATGAAAAATAAATTATACAATCTAAGCTCTGGAAGAAATAGCAGCTTGGATTTGTTAATTTTGGACAACATTTAAATTCTTCTGCCAGCACAGTTTTAAGCTATAGCTGTATAATGCATCTCCTCATACTTTTACAATTTAGAAAATTGGCTAAAAAATAGTAATGTCCCTTTTGGATCCTAATGTACCTTTTGAGTATCATTTGTTTAGTTTAATGAAAAAATAAAGTTTGTGCAGCCATATTCCAGTCCCAGTAACAATACCCTGTGTTGGGATAATAAACTAATCATGGCAGGGGCAGGTAGTGCGCCACCACGGAAAGACAGAACCAGCCCTCAACAGCCCTCAGCAACAGTGTGATTCTTCCCCACATCTAGGATAAAACAAGCATGCAAACAAGACACAACCCAGTCTCTAGGGCTTCCCCCCGTAGCCTGAGGGGTTTGGGATCACCAGAACAGGAGTGCAGGCTGGGACCCGAGAAGCCAGCACATCCCATCTCCTTAACTCTTACCGCACTGGAAAGACAAAGTCTGCATAAAGAGTGTTCTGCAGAAACTTGTGACATTTGGGGGGTTAAATTGATAGTTGGGTTGGAATTTCTTCAGCACATAACACAGTCAGCAGAGAAAGAAGAGTTGTTCAGATGAAAGTAAACAAATACTTTTTATTTCTTAATCACAGCATGCTCACCAGGTATTTGACAACAGATTTGAGCCTTTAAATTCATAACATGTTACCTGAAGATGTGGCTTGATTACAACCTAGACACAAATGTATAATACCGGTATTCCAGGGGCCAATTAGATTCCGATGAGAGAGGACGCCTGCAACACCGGAGCGGAGTGGGGCGAGATCAGCGTGCAGGAGCCTCACCTCAGAGCGACAAGAGACACCGAGGAGGGAGCCTCAAGGCCTCGACAGGCCTTGCCCAAGGAGCCGGCAGCTCAGCTGACGAGAGCGAGCAGCTGACTCACAGGGGGGGAGCCAGGAGCAGCGGCGCCAGCTGTGAGTGGTTGAAAACCTGCACCAGGGAGCGCGAGCGACCAGGAGCGTGGTGAGGCAGTTTGCGCGGCAGGCGAGTGGGGTGACCGCCTGATCAAGAGGACTCGCCTGGAGCGCAGGAGGAGGAAGGACTGCTCGCTTGTGCAGAGAGACGTAGATGGACTGATCGACCACATAGAGCATGGTCACCACAAGATCAAAAGCTGCAGTGCTGAATAACCTGGGTACCCAGACTGAGCCTTCCTGCAGACATGCTGCCGTGCAGGTCTCTGGCTGCAGTGAATGCCTGAGCCCGGCGCTTGTACTGGAGAGAGCCAGTGGCACTGCTTGTGTGCGGTGTGAGTGAATAAATGATCTGCTCAGGCAGGTGGCTGAACTGAGGGAGGAGGTAGAAAGGCTGAGAGCCATCAGAGAGTGTGAAAGTGAAATAGAGTGGTGGAGCCACACCCTAAGGCAAGGGAAGTGGTTGAACAAGTGATGGATCCCCTTCCCTCCTACCATCAGATAGAAGGAGTGAACTTACGGGACAAGGAGGTATGGAGGGAGGTCCCTCCTCGGAGAGGTAAGTGAAAACCCTCGCAATCCCTTTCTCCTTCCCAGTTGCCCTTGAATAACAGGTGTGAGGTCTTGGAAC